GATTTCAGGGGATCGGGATATTTGCTGGTTATTTTGAAATAGAGCTGCTTACACTGCCTGATATAGGAGAAAAACATGAAAGAAGCCAGAGCAGAGGAAAAAAAATATGCAAAATCTATGGTAGTTCGTGGGAAGGTACCGGGACAGAGAGCTGGAAGGGATCAATGCCTTGTCCACCCGCCCTGGGATAAAGCATTTAAGCTGTTTGGAGCCTGCTTTCCCACAGAGCTCTCTGCTCAGCTGGCCTGTGAGTGCTGCAGCAATCTCGTCCACACTGAGGGCTCCCCCCAGCCTGTGCATGAGTGGCTGTGATTGCCCTTTAGGGATGGCAAGATAGAGACAAAGAACAAAAGCAAAAACTGGGGGCGGGAAAAAGTGAGGCTGACCTGATGCTGGCTGCCAGAGAGAAACTCGGAGCAGGACTTCCCTTCCTAGTTAAGGGAAACCCCACAGAGTAAAGGTTGAACTCTGCTATTGCTCTCTGCCACCTGCGTTTCACTCAATTCTTTTGTCTTCAGAGCCTCCAGGCATCAGCCAAAGCCCCTCCAGGCTCGAGGTAACCCAGGAGGGGCAAGTTTGTGTGCTTGGGTGCAAGGCTGGTGGGTGAGGTGCTGTGCTGGGACCCAGAGGCACTGGAGTGTCTGCAGCAATGGGACCAGCTCCTGCTGCTGAAGGGAGATAAAATCCCCATCACATAGGAGAAGAAATTATGTTCTTTTGGATTTTGTAGATGCCTGAGTGTTGGTATACATGGTTCAAGCTCCCTGAAAAACTGTATGTACCCTGTGGGAAAATCCTACAAGATGCAATAGCAATGCAGCCAATGGAGTTACCCTGAAACCTGCAGGATTTAATAGCTCAGGATGCTCTTTCTAATAGTGGTTTTAACCACTGAATGCAGGTTTTCTTATGGCAGGGAGAATTATTCCTGCCCTTTCATAGAGCGTGATCCACAAAAACCTGCAAGAAAGCCATTTTCTATTAAGCTCTATTGCTTTCAAGGGGGTAAAAAAAGCCAGGAAACATAACTCGAGATACATTTCCCAAAGTTATGGTTTCTTCTTAATTCTTAGTTTAAATAAGGATTGGAGAGTTGGACTCTCCAGTCTTGGCATCCATGGTCATTTAGTTTGGAATAGAAATCAGGTATGTCACAGCCAAGGAGCTCGTGGGTCTCACTGGGGCCCAGCTTTGAGCTGAACCCAAATGTACAGTTTCCAGTCCAGGGCTTCCCAGATAAACTAACAGAAGGTTTTCACAGCCATTACTGTGGTGTCCAAGTAGTGAGAGATACAACTTTTTTTATAAAACACCCAGTCAGTAAGAAATGGGTAAAAATTTACTGGTATCCCTGACAAAAAAGGGAGTCAAACCAGCCCTTAGGATTAAAGGCTTGGAGGAGGAAGAGAAAGGGGGTTCTCTGATCCAGAGAGGAGTCCTGTAGAGAACAGGCTGCCTTGTCCAGGTCCTGCAGCTTTGCAGGTCTTCTCATAGGGGACAGTGTGATGGCACATGTTGGGGGGACGCTTGGCTACTGGGTTTGACATCTCTGTCTTGGAGCTGCTTGGTAAGATTTAAACTGAGCAGCCCCCCCAGTCACCCCCACACACCCCTTCCTCCAGGGGATGCTCCTTGGCAGCCTCCTTACTTAGGAGCATAGAACAGATGCTGCAGCAAGGTCCTGACACCCTCCCACCATCAGCATGACCACCCTACAGCCCCAAGCAAGGGGGTCAGGGGTGCCGGTGCTGGGTCTGAGCTGAGTGGAGACACCACAGAAGCTGGTTTTGGTGCAGTCAAGGCATCCTTGCTGCCCTTGGCCACCCCTGCCTTCAGGGAATGTGATTTTCCCCCACCTAGTGCAGAATGAGTGATACACAGGGACTGCAGAGCGCCTGTCCCCACCGGGATGTACCCTATGCACAGCTAGGGAAGGGGGTGTCCTCTCCCAAGCCTGCTGATGAGCCCAGGGCCGTGACATCATTCCCCATGGCAGACAAACACCAGGAGTGGAGTCATGAGCTCTTTCACCTGGGCATCAGCCCAGTCTGAGTCAGCCTTCGGGCAGCGGCAGCAGCTCTGATGTTGTACCGTCAGGGCTGGGTCTAAAAATAAAATTAGAAAGGAAAAAGGTATTCTTAGCCTTAACTCTGTCGCAGAGTCCCCCCAGGGGACATTGGGACTGAGAGGAGAGGAGATGGCAAAGCCCAGGAGGTTGGAAGCACAGCTCTAGACACTCATGCTGGGTGTGCAGCTGGAGCAGCATCTGCCTCCCACAGCAGAGAGGGAGCTTCCACTGATGCCATCTCCCTCCCTCGTTTTTAGGGAGGAAAGAAAAACGAAGCAAAGGAAGCACCCAAAAGGCCATGCCAAGCCTCAGGTAGCTGGTGCATAAGGCTGTGATCACGACACTAAATCCTCACCCACATCCCTCAGCTTTTGTGCTGGCACTGCCTCCTTGCAAGCTCCGTCGCACTCTCCAGAGCAGTATATTTGGTAATTTATTCTCCCCTGGCAAGCTCAGCTCACAGGCAGCATCTGGCTCTCTGCAAAGGTCACTCTGCTTTCTGAGCGTCAGCCCTCCAGCCAGTTTTGGCAGCAGGGCACCAAGACCCACCAGAATTTGGCTTTGAAGTAATTTCTCCTCTCTCCCCTTAGTGCAAACCAAGGAAACCAAGTTATACCGAAACATGGCTTGAGAGATTTCCTTTAAAATAAACATTCAGGCTTCAAGGCCATTTTTCAACTAAAGCCAAACAAAGTTTAACTACATACAAGTTTGTGAGCTGTTTTGATACGCCTCAATTTGCCTTCACCAACTAACACATTACTCCAGTAGGCAGACCTGGACCAGAGCCAGGAGCTGGAACGCTGCCCACAGGATGCTCCACTGCCACTGACAGCACTCACAGGGCTCACAGACCTGCTGCTCAGAGCAGATTTGCTCCCTCAATGTCTTACTTTGTCTCAGGTCCTATTTTTCTGTGCATTTGGCAATATGTGGTGGTCCCTTCCAGCAGCCATGGTACTGCCTCCCAGCCCCAGGAAGCAGGGACTTCCACAACTAATACACTTTTGTGGCTATTTAAGATTTGATTTAAGCTCCCACTGTCACAGCAAATAAAAAAATAATTTTTAACATGCCAAGGAAGGCTGACATGAAATGCAGGCAAGTTTCCATCACTTATCCCCCTCCAAAAAAACCAACTTTGATTAGATATAAGGAAGACTTTTTTTTTTTACAATAAGGGTGGTGAGGCACAGGTTGGCCCAGAGAAGCTCTGGCTGCTCCATCCCTGGAAACATTCGAGGTCAGGCGTGAATGGGGCTTAGAGCAACCTGATCTAGTGGAAAGTATCCCTGCCCGTTGCAGGGGGTTGGATTAGATGAGCTTTAAGGTCCCTTCCAAGCCAAACCATTCTATGGTTGTATGAAAATCCTGTGCTAACAAGACCAGAACTACAGACCTGAAGCCAAGAGCTGGAGCTGTGTGAACACAGCAGAGCCACCACAAGTGTTGGATGGATGGATCCCATCGGCATCAACACTTTTTACTTCAACATTTTGGGCTCTTCAAACTAGCAAAACCGCTTATATTTAACCTTAGCTCAACATGAATTTGCACTTTCCTGTGGTGGAAAGTGCCCGGTGAGACCGTGACCATGTCTGCTATGGGATGGATGGACCCACCACGGGGGCACCCATGGATATGGTCCAATGTTGAAGCCCTTCTAGATAACAAGCCATCATCTCTCCCGTGTCTCCATAGCCTTCCTGCATCTCACACAGCCATAGATCAAGTTCCAGGCTTTTTCAGAATTGGATTCCTACCACCAAAGCCTCAGGTCACACATACTCAAGAGCTCCACAGGAATCCAAAGATCACTGGAGTGCTTTTCAAAAAATAGTACTTAAGCTCCTTGGAAAGGCAGGTGCTTCAGTGGGGGCTCTATCAGGTTTATAGTCATGTACAGAAGTATTAATCCTGTGGCTTAAGTGTAGTGAAGATGCAAAACATGATATCCAGCAAGGAAAAACAGAGTTCTGTTGAGCTGCTGACTGGGTTTTAAATCAGGAGAGGGAACATGGCAGCTCAGGGGAAGCAGTTCCCTGTTCTCAGTGTCCAGGAGTTTCTCCCCAGCCAGATGCACTGATTCTAGCTGGAACAAGATCCCCCTTCCAGCTTTAACAGCCACACTCACCATTTCCCAGGGCAATAATCCAGGCACAACACCCAGAAGAAGCCCCAGGGCATGAGGATTGTGTTTGCCTAATTTGCTCTGGGCAGAAGTTTCCAGTATTTCCAGCAACCCCAGCTGGGGACAGCCTGTTGCCTCTTGACAGTTGTTCCTCCTGAGTTTAGCAAACAAAAAGCATCTCACTGCATTCAACTGCTCCTCCAAATTTTATTTAGACCATGTCAAACTCTGTATGCTCCAAAGCACCCCTGTTTGAGGGGTAGGAAGGCTCTCAGGTCACCCAGGAGGGGCAGGAAAAGCTGGTGATAGTGGCACGCTCGGAGCTGCAGGAACAGCTCAGAGGAGATACAAAAGCAGCTCAGAGGCAGAGCAACAGCTGGGCACACCATGAAGTCCTGGCATGAACCAAGTGCCCTTCAAAACCACTTATGAGGGAACATGTAGTGGGGAGACAGGTGATGTGGTGAGACCTACCCACCCCACCTTCTCCCATCCATGCTTGACAGGCAGCTGTGAGGAGCTTAAGGCTGGATGCTGGATTTTAAATGTCATTCTTCTCAGGGTGCGAAGATTTAAGACAGTACTTGAATCTTCTCCAGATATGGAACTTTCCTTATGATTAACTGCTATGTCCCTTCTACCATGCCAGCTTTACATAGGCCAGGGGCCCACCACACATCAGAAAAATGGAACACATATATATATGCTGGTATTTTATATAAATGTGAGATACAGAAGAGGGCACAGGGCACAGCATTGTGGAAAATGAGACACGGCAGAAAATCAACACGAGCAGCACACCTGAACTCCAGAGCACAGGATCCAGGTCACAGTAGATTGATGCATTTCCTCCTCCAAGACTCCCATGAAGGCAGCAGGCCAGCAGCATGTTAATGCACACCCTGGAACAAGAGAGAAGTAGGACCGCTGAGCACTTCTGCTCAGTATCAAAGGCAACTTCCCATATGCACCACGTCAAACTTGGGATGCTCCTCTCAAAAACAGCCAGCTCCCTTTTTTCTCTTTCTTACC